TGTCAAGTAATTTCAGCTGTGTATAAATAGTTCTTTTTCATATTTTTAGGGCATCTTTTGTCTGAGGAGCTCGTGAACAACCGTATTTTACTACTTAGAGTAATTTTAGAGCAGCTTTAGATATTAATCTTAGATTTTATTCTTATAATCAACTTTTATGGCTTATATTTTATCTTCATCTTTGATTTCTACCTTGATTATGAGTAGCTAAACCCATTAGCTAGGGTTGTGACCCAACCCTAGTGTGTCTATTTAGTGGGTCTTCAATTTTAGGGCTTAATTGTTTATGGGTTAATGATATTTTGCTTGATTCATGCTTTAATTGTTGAATTGGTGGTTGCAAACACTGATTTGTGCCTTTATGACTTAGACTCTTCTTGAGAAAGAGAGACTACGTCTAGGAAATTCAAGCTAACAAGGAATTGGGGTGCATTCAAGAGATTGGTAGCCCTAATTAAAGGGTTAAACCTAGAGAAAGTAATACTCGACTTGAGCCAATTTTGCTTGCATTGTTTGAACACCCAATTGGGCTTGAGAAAGCCAATTAGGGCAAAGTCACTCAAACTACCAAAAGGTATAGAGTGAGTAATTATGTGCAAAGGTATATCATGATCCCAAATATAACAAATCTGTCCTAAATTCTAGACCCCATTAGATACTCGCCTATGTGTAAGTCACTTCCCTAGTGCTATTTATCAATTGAGAAAAACCCTACAAAAATATTGTACTTAGATTACTTTCAGCAATCAGTAGCATTAAAAGTAGAATAGAAACAAATCCAAACATGGTTAGAAGTGAAATTAAGAGCAACATGCATAGCTAGATTGGATAGAAACCCAACTCCCGACCAATATTAGCTCCTTATGGATATCGATCCCGACCTTTCGGGTAAAAGCCGCATCGACCACTCTTTGCCATTTCATAGTGGTATAGGGTTGGAGCCGATCACTTTTTGGCGCCGTTGTCGTGGAGCTAAACGGTTTTGCCTATCTATCTAACTAGTTGTGTATCTTGTTTTTCTTTCCTTCTATTTTACTAGCTTGTGTGAGTTAATTGATTCAGGTACAACATGGCAAATAATGATCCTATTAAAAATGTTGTCCCAAGGGAGGAGGTAAATGATAATGCTGAAGATGAGGTGCCGCTAGTACCTCAAGCTCAAAGAAGAGGCCGACAGGCCAATGACAACATTCCAGACCCTCCCACAGCTCCTCCGCGAGTAGCTCCTCGGGTGCTTCCAAATGAAGGTTACGCAAGTGCAATTGTCCCACTCAGGATCCGGGCGGGCAATTTCCAGATTACAAATGTTATGTTGACTTTATTGGAGCAAAGAGGGTACTTCACAAGCGCTCCCCATCAGAATGCATATAAACATCTAAAGGGTTTTGTGGATACCTACTAGGGAAGCAAATAGACAAATGTGTCGAAGGATGCATTGAGACTGAGACTGTTCCCTTTTTCACTTAGAGGGAAAGCTTTGGACTGGCTCGAAAGACTTCCCAACCATTCCATCACTACGTGGTATGAGTTGGCCGACAAGTTTATTGCCAAGTTTTTCTCACCGGGGCATATGGCGACATTGAGAGATGAGATCCTGACCTTTAAACATGAACCTAATAAACCACTTCATGAGATCTGGGAAAGGTATCGGACGATGGTGAAAGAATATCCGAACAATGACATGACCGAAGCAATGATTCAACAAACATTCTACCGTGGCATCAACACTACCAATTAGTGTGTAGTGAACCAGCTAGCTGGGGGGAACTTTATGAACACGCCTTATGCTGAGGCATGTGAGATACTTGATGAGATGGCAGATACTTCCTCGGCGTGGCAAAGTCGAGCTAATGTGCCACAAGGTGATCCCACTGTCATTCACCTGCACAAAGAGCTCCATGACCACGACCAAGCAATAGCAGAGTTGACTACAACAATGAACTAGTTGGCCAAAAGCTCAATTGCAGCAAGTTCAAGCGCCAAGACAAGTGACCGCCATGGAGGGGTAAATATGATGGTCAATAAGAGGCGACAAAGAGGTCAACAAAGTCAAGGAAATCCGGACAATATGAGCAAGGTAGTAGTGGTTTCAACCAAGATGATGGGTATGATGATCAAAGTGAAGAAGTTCAGTATGTGAACAACTACCAAGGACAACGAGGCAATGCTCCGAATCAACAATAACGGTGGAGATCCCAAGAAAATTGGGGGAATCAAAACCAACAAGGAAAATTGTAACAGTGGTAACAACAACAACCAAAACAACTGGGGGAACAACAATTAGAATTGGGGCAACCAGGGCAACTAGGGAGGAAACAACAACCAAGGGGGTTGGAATAACGGTAATCAAGGGAATCGGGGGCCGGGATTTCAAAGGCCTCCAATGTATCAACAATAAACAACCCGCCTCCATTTTCGTCTCAAGGTCCTAGCTCGTCAAACAATGAGATGGGAAGGATTGAGTTGATGTTTGAGCAAATGATGAAGAAGAACGCCGACTCTGATACCCCGTTGGCATCCCATAATACTTCTATCCAAAACTTGGAGGTTCAACTTGGCCAGATTTCGCAAGCTTTGAACATTCGCCCTAATGGGCTCTACCCAGTGACACGGTAGTAAACCCGAAGGGTGGGAACAATACCGGGCATGCAATGGCGGTGATCACAAGGAGCGGTAGAGGTAGTGAAGTAAATACCTCCAAGCAAAAGGAAGTTGTGAGTGATGAGGTTGAAGTGCAAAATGATGATGTTCCAATAGTTGATGAGCAAGTGAGTGAAGAGAATTTGAATGCTGAAGTGAGAATTGATATTCATGACAATGAGGTGGAGACTCAAAATGATGTGATCCCGTCTAGGGAACACGTGATAGACATACCGAAAACGGTAGTGCCCAAGGCTAAGGCTCCTCTTCCAAGGCCTCCTCCACCTTACGCTCAAAGACTTGCGAAGCAAAAGAATGAAAACCAATTCAAGAAGTTTATTGAGATGATGAAAAGCTTGTCGATCAATATGCCCTTTGTGGATGCTCTTGAGCAAATGCCGGGATATGCCAAGTTTATGAAGGACTTGGTGACTAAAAAGAGATCTATGGATTGTGAGACCATCAAAATAACTCATCAAGTGAGTGCAATTTTGCATCGATGGCTTCAAAGCTTGAAGATCCCGGAGCATTCACCATTCTATGTACCATTGGGATAGCGGATTTTGCAAAGGCCTTGTGTGATTTGGGAGCAAGTATAAATTTGATGCCTTACTCTGTATTCAAAACTTTGGGTATTGGTCAACCGAGAGCTACGTCAATAATATTGCAAATGGCGGATCGAACAATGAAGAGGCCGCTTGGTATTATTGATGATGTTCTTGTCCAGGTTGACAAGTTTATTTTGCCTGCGAATTTTGTGATTCTCGACTGCAAAGTCGACTATGAGGTGCATATAATATTGGGAAGGCCTTTCCTAGCAACAGGGAAGGCATTGGTTGATGTGGAAGTAGGGGAGCTCACCTTCCGGGTGGGTGACGAAAAAGTTATCTTCCACGTTTGCAAATCGATGAGGCAACCGAATAGTACTGAAGTTTGCTCTTTTGTGGATCTTGTGACGGAGGTGATAGTTGATGACACGAGTGCCATGATCAATGTTGGGGATCCTTTGGAAGCTGTATTGTTGAACCATGATGTGACTGAGGATGAAGGCTTGGTAGAGTATGTCAATGCTTTGCACAAAATGGGTTCTTACTCCTATGAGCCCGATAAACTCTCCTTGGATCTTGAGAACAGAAAGACTCCACCAACAAAGCCCTCAATCGAGGAACCTCCCGTATTGGAGTTGAAGCCTTCACCTTCACACCTCAGGTATGAATTCTTCGGCCCTAGTTCAACTTTACATGTTATTCTTTCTTCTTGCTTAACTAACATGCAGGTAGATGCCACCCTAGAGGTGCTCTAACGAAGGAAGAAGGCAATTTGATGGACTCTAGCTGATATTTGAGGAATAAGCCCCGCCTTTTGCATGCACACGATTATACTTGAGGATGATGCCAAACCCTCCGTGGAACATCAAAGGAGGTTGAACGAGGCTATGCAAGAGGTCGTCAAGAAGGAAGTGATTAAGTGGCTAGATGCAGGGGTTGTGTACCCCATCTCGGATAGTTCATGGACTTCACCGGTACAATGTGTGCCGAAGAAGGGTGGTATGATTGTGGTCACAAATGAGCAAAATGAATTGATCCCCACTAGGACTGTCACCGGATGGAGCGTATGCATGGACTACCGAAAGGTGAACAAAGTGACCCGTAAAGATCATTTTCCATTACCCTTTCTTGACCAAATGTTGGATCGACTTACCGGGTGTTCCTACTACTGCTTTTTAGATGGGTACTCAGGTTACAACCAGATTTTGATTGCACCGGAGGACCAAGAGAAAACACCTTCACATGGCCGTATGGGACCTTTGCATTTTCACGGATGCCATTTGGTTTGTGTGATGCACCGGCTACCTTCTAGCGGTGTATGATGGCTATCTTTACGGACATGGTGGAGGACTTCCTGGAAGTGTTCATGGATGATTTTATTGTTGTGGGTGACTCCTTTGAAGAATGCTTGAAGAATCTTGACAAGGTGCTAGCCCGATGTGAAGAGACAAAATCTTGTGCTTAATTGGGAAAAATGCCACTTTATGGTCGAGGTAGGCACTGTCCTCGGCCATAAGATCTCAAAGAGCGGTATTGAGGTTGACAAGGCGAAGATTGAAGTGATTTCAAAACTTCCTCCTCCTACTTCCACTACTAAAAAATAGGCCTATGGCAACGGATATTTTTGCAACGGTTTAGCAACCGTTACGATAGACGGGTTATTGCAACGGTTATAACCGTTGCAAAAAGACATTGATAGTACCGGCACACTTTGGCTATAAAACCGTTGCATTTGGGTGGAAACCGTTCCTATAGGAGTTTTATTTTGCAACGTTTATGTGAACCGAACCGTTGCAATAGATACCCCCCAACCCCAAATGTTTTAGGCAAAATAACAAAATCAAAACCCTCCATTCTCTCGGAAAACATACATATCCAAAAGGCCAAAATCTATCCCAAACTTTTCGATCTCAAAAGGCAAAGAGAAAGCTGCCAGTTTCTTTCCGTCTCTTCCATCGTCTTTGTCATCGTAGTCCGTCAGCCACCACTATTAACACCACAAACAACCACCTCCGATCATCTCTTCAAATCGTCCAGAAATTCTAATTTCTTGACTAATCTCGACTAACATAGCGGGTATCTTCAATTTCTCACAGAGCCTAATAATAGGTTTTTTCTTGAATCTCATGATTTTTTTTATTTTTCTTGCTCTTCTGTTACCAATTTCTAAATTTTTCAATAATTGAACCCTAAGTGGCAGATCCAATTCCTCGCTGAAATTGCCGCTGGTTGCTGTGGGAGAAACCATCGATGTAAGCTTTTTTAATTTTTTTAAAAATAAATTTGGGATAACAACATTCGTTAGTAGTGTGTTTGAATGAAGATTTCAGTTTTAATGTTCCTTGTTACCCGATTCTTTGTCTTTTAATTTTGAGAGTATTTGAGTGATCCTCATCATAATTGGAAATATTGTGATTTTATGTGTGTATCTTGTGGGGATAGTATATTTTACCATACTAGATTCTTTTGTCTGTGGCTGCCCTGTGTAGAAATTGAAGATACAAAATTGTATAGAGCTCTCTTCTCTTATGCACTTCCTGAGTAGTTATAGTTTTTCTAAGAAAAACGTAACAATCGCTTTGACTTTTTGAGATATTTAATTCTAATGATTCTTAATTAGAAAAGTTAAAATTCTACTTTTTGAGAGAAGGGTGATGTTTAATTCATTAAACAGAAGTTTGTGGATAGTGGTGAGCACATAAATATTTATAGCAATAAGGATAGAACTTACAATTTTTTATTCATAGTCAATAAGGCCTCTGTTAAGTAAGTGGGAGCCAATACAAAGATAAAAAGCTTTCTCAAATGGGAATATCACTCTAGACACACTAAGAACAGTAATTCTAATTTGCATTCAAGCATATCTTAACTTCTATTTAGAATTTTGCACTTCCTAACTAGCTTGGGATTGGGATTTAGTTGTTATTTTAAATTTGGCGCTTATTAATTGAAAAAATAAGCTACAATAAGGTATTTTGGTATTTGATTTTTTGGTACTATTTTGCCACAGTATATACTGATCTTGAATGCAAATACACCATTTTTATGGTGCTGTGACCTTTCTTTTATTCTAGGGAGAAATCGTGCATGTAGCTTCCATATATGTATTCAATTATCTAATTTCGTATATGTTCCGATTATGTATTTTTTGTGAGAGATCAAACTGTTTCAAGGTTAGGACCTTATGAGTCCATTTCAGTTAATTCTCAATTTAATCTTCTAACTGTGGTGCCAAAAAGGATGAATAGTCACTTTAGTTCCAGCAAGAATTAAACTCCACTGCCTTGCTTCCTTTTCTATGATTTTTGCTCTTTTTCTGTTCAACGTTAGCATGTTCTCGCTTGTCCAACTTTGCTATAACATAATCTTCAAATACTTTATAATTTGAATATCAAATAAAATTTTGTAGATTCTTACAGTGGAGATATGCGTTCCTTAAATATTATTATATGTATTCCTTAGAAAAGAAAGAAAGAATCAGCTTATACTCAATAAAGCATACTAGTTCATTTCCTGATGAATTGATAAAGCATGTAACAGTTGAAACTGGAGGAATCAATATATACTTTTCAACTTTTGTATTCATCTTCTTTGCCTTTGTTTTTGGTTCCAATTTACCGAGCAAGTGTCATTTGGAAAAGACGAAAGGAAAAATAAGAAAGTATATAGCTCATATTTTATGGGGGTTATTTTCAATCGGCTAGGTGAAGTTGTGTAGTTGCTACGACCTGATATATATATTCTCTTTTCCTTTCTATAATGCTCTTTTTCCTCCTTCACCTTCTTTGATCAGCAATTAATTTTTTTAATGTTGAGAGATGAAACACCTGTATAATGGTAACAATCAGTAGTGCTAACCATGCTTGTAACTACTAAAAAAGAAAAAATTTGGGATGTCTGTAATTGCTTCTGTGCTAGTCCTTCCTGATGCAGCTTTTACTTTCCTAAAGTGTAGTTACTAAAACATTGTTGGGCCCTGTATGAACCCTCCACTAGTATTTTATAAATGCTGCCAATTCTATTGACTCATTTTATTTGCAGAAAACATCCAAATCGATATTTAGAATCAAAAAAAGTTAAGGTAACCACACATTGTTGGCAAAAACAAATTTTTCTCTAATACGTGAGGTTTGATATTTAATCTTTTTTCTTTAATAAATCTGAACTTGTTAGCTTTACATGAAAAGTTTTTTATATCAGCTTTTGTGTAACCAGGCATAAGAAAGAGGATGCTATTCAACTAATAAATACCAGCTTATATGCTCGTTTACCTGGAGAAGCTTCCTCTGTCCAACAAGATGCTATTCGACTAATAAATTGTCTATCTACTGGTTGTAACAATCAAGGTTAGTACTTACTCAAAATATTACATTTCTTTTTCTTCTTCTCCTCATTCTGCTGCTGCTTCTTCTTCTCTCTCTCTATTACTATGATGCATATTCTTTTTCCATTGCCTTGCCGGTTCTTTGTTGCTATATTGTTTGTGTCTTCATGTGATGTTCTAAATATTATGATCTTCTGCTTGACATAATATCTATATTTTGGTTAATTCGTAATCATGTTTTGAGTGAGATGCTTAATTGAGTTGGATACATGACTTCTGTTTTAGATTCTTCATGTTAGAACATCATGAAATATAGTTTCAATATGATATGAGAGAAATCAATTTTTTACTTAAAGCAAATCAAAAACTTGGAAATTGTGATTGATGTAAAAGAAGCATATACTCACATAGCTAGGAGAGCGCCCAAGTAGCCCGATTTTATGCGATAATCTGGAAATTGTATGCATTAATTTGCTGTCAATATTAGACTTCTACCTCAGTTTAAGAGTTTTTGTTGTGTTGACAACTGTGAACTCCATTGAGCTGGTTGAGTACATTGAGGGAGGTTATGGTGACTCAATTCTTTGCTATTTACTTGTATTCTGCTGGCATGAAAAACTTTTTCCATTAATTTTATCATGAGTGTGTACTATCAAAAAAGAAAAAAAAAATCATGAGTGTGAATCTATGTTATACTGCAGACAGATAGTTAGGAGCTTTCTTGGGCATGCGGGGTTCTACCGAACGTTCATCAAGAACTTCTCAAAGATAGTGAATCCCTTGTGCAAATTGTTAGAAAAGGATGCTATGTTTGTGTTCAATGAAGAATGCATGAAAGCTTTTGAACTTCTCAAGTACAAACTGACAACCACTCCCATTATTACCGCACCCAATTGGAGCTTACCCTTTGAGCTTATGTGCGACGCAAGTGATGTTGCGGTAGGAGCGGTCTTGGGGCAAAGGGTGAACAAGATGTTTCACCCGGTGTATTATGCAAGCAAAACTATGAATGATGCCCAGGTGTCATGACCCAAAATCTAACCATGGTCGTGATGGCGCCTATCTTGTTACAAAGGAAGCCTACTTCCCAAAATGTTACCACCAAACTGATTATAAGAAATTAATAAAATATTTCAACATTTAAATTTTTCATAAACTAAATCAACTCTAAATATAATATAGAAAATACGGAAACGAGCCCCAAACATCGGGGTGCCACTAAGTCATGAGCGTCTAACACTACGAACTAAGATATAAAAATGTCTAAATGTCAATACAGCCCAAAAGAAGAAATAATAGAAGGGGTAACAAGGTCCTGCGGATGTTAACAGCTACCTTGTAGCCTCCAACGATAACCAGCCTGAACTCAACAATCGCCGCGTTCTAACTCACCTGGATCTGCACATGAAGTGCAGGGTGTAGTATGAGTACAACCGACTCAGTAGTAACAGAAATAACTAAGGAATTGAGTAGTAGTAACGAGCTAAGTAAAACAATGCAATTACTTCTTTTCATAATTTAAAATAACAGAAATAAGCAGGTAAATTCCATAACTCAGTAAATGTCACCAAGAAATTTAACAGAAAAATACAGCAACAGCGAAGTAAATGAAATCTCGCAGCAATGTCACTTCACCACTCAGCACTCAGCACTCAGCACTCAACACACTCATCGCTCAATAGGTACCTCGCTCACTGGGGGTGTACAGACTCTGGAGGGGCTCCCAAAGCCCAAGCGCTATGCACGGACAATTCACGTGCTGCACAGACAACTCACGTGCCATAATATCAAACTCTGGATCTGCACGGTCAACTCACGTGCTACGCGGACAGCTCACCCGCTATGGTATCAATACCTGGATCTGCACGGACAACTCACGTGCTATCATATCATATGAAATACCTCACCACAGGCCCCTCGGCCTCACCATCATCAATAAGGGGACACATCCCACACCAAGTATCACAGCATATCAACAAAATAATAGAGACTGAGGTAAACATATACAATAGTTTTTCTGACTGAGTGCAATCAGTGTGAGCATGAATAAAGCCTAAACATGATCTTTAACATGAAGGCAAACAAGTTCTACAACAAGTAAACTCATAACCACAGATAACGACCATTAAGCCTCACAGCCTCACGGGACGGACCAAGTCTCAATCCTTCGCGGTGCACACCCACACGCTCGTTACCTAGCGTGGGTATCACCACCAAACAATCACATGATATCACTTTCTCCGGGGTTATACCCTCAAAGCCAGAGTTAAAACTGTTACTTACCTCAACAACGCAAAATCCTACTCCGGGATGCCCTCGTCTCTGGACTCGGTCTCCAAAAGCTCCAATCTAACCATAATAAGATTAATACCATCAACATGTGCTAAAGAATCGAATTCCACAATAAAAACTATAAAATATACTAAAAATCCGAAATCGGCCAAAACTCGGCCCACGGGACCATGTCTCGAAATTAGTCAAAAATGGCAGAATAATAAACCTTGTCCTCTGCCGAGTCTAACCATATAAAATTCATCAAAATCGGACTCCGATATCAAAATTTCCGCTACCAATCCGAAAACGCCCAAAAATCCAATTTCGCCAATTCAAGCCTAAATCTACCACGGACCTCCAAATTACATTCCGATCATGCTCCTGAGTCCCAAATCACCTGACGAAGCTATCCGAACCATAAAACCAAGTTCGGAGATCATTTACTCACAAGTCAACTTCCGGTTGACTTTTCCAACTAAAGCTTCCAAATAAGAGACTAAGTGTCTCATTTCACTCCGTGACCACTCCGAACACAGAACAACCAACACGATAAGACAAAACACAGCTGAACAATACATAAAGAAGCAGAAATGGGAAAACGGAGCGGTAACTCATGAAACAACTGGCCGGGTCGTTACATCCTCCCCCTCTTAAACAACATTCGTCCTCGAACGAGTCAAGAATCATACCTTAAATCACAGCATCTGAAGCAATAACGTCTGGCCCGACTGGAAGGGCATAGAAACGGGCCTGACCGCCCCCTGACCTGCCTCTCCCTCTCGGGCGGTTTGTAGCTGACTGGGCTCCGCTCCTAGCTGGCTGGGCGGATGGTGGAGGAACTGGTGCTGGTGCCATCGGCTGAGTACCCTACTGTGGAGTTTCACCCAACAGTCTAGGGCAATATCTCATAATATGACCAAGATCTCCGCACTCGAAACAACCCCTCCTCTAACGAAATTGCCACTCCTGGTGCCCCGAAGAACTACCCGATGATACCTGAGCGGACGGGGCATGATGAGAACCTTGTGCTGGCAGTGCACTGACTGATGATTGACCCTGCTGAAACTGACCCTGTTGAAACTGACCTCCCTGAGGGGCGCCACTGAAACCACCCTGACTACGAGACCTCTTAGCCTCCCTGTCAGCCCTCTCCTGACCTCAGACCATCTCAATCTGTCGAGCAATGTCGACGACTTCATCAAAGGTAGCCCCAAATACTCTCTCCCTGGTCATAAGCAATTGAAGCTGAAAATCGAGGCCATCTACAAACCTCCTGATCCTCTCTCGATCTGTGGGAACCAACCAGACTGCATGACGAGCTAACTCGGAGAATCGCATCTCATACTGGGTGACAGACATCTCACCCTGGCGAAGCTGCTCAAACTGCCTGCGCAGCTCCTCTCTACGGGACTCAGGTACAAACTTCTCCAAAAAGAGAACAGAGAACTGCTGCCAAGATAGGGGTGCTGCGCCAACCGGCCTACGCCTCTCGTAAGCTTGCCACCAATTAAGTGAAGCCCCGGAGAACTGGAAAGTAATGAATGAGACCCCACTGGTCTCCAGAATACCCGCGGTCCGAAGCGTCCTCTAGCACTTGTCCAAGAAACCATGTGCATCCTCACCCTCGGCACCACTAAATGACGGAGGCTGGAGTCTACCAAACCTCTCCAATCTACGCTGCTCGTCCTCTGGCATAATAGGAGCTACATAGTCCTGAGCAACTGCAACCGGCTGGACTGGAGGTGCCCCCGGTGTCTGAAGTCCCTATACGACCTGCTCGGGTGTACGTGCGGCGGGAGTCTGAGTGCCTCCCTCGGCCTGAGAAGTAGCTGCTGTGGTAGATACTGCGATCGCCTGAGCGAGACTAGTGCACACGGTCAAGATCTGAGCCAAGGTCTCTTGAAGACCCGAAATAACAATAGGTACAGTCGGTGCCTGAGCTGGTCGTGCTGGAGCATCCGCAACTATGACCTGATCGTGAACTGGGGCGACTGGTGGATTTGCATGTGCCGCCCTATCTACTGTGGGGGCTACACCCCTGCCCCTACCACGGCCTCGACCGCGACCTCGGCCTCTAGTGGCCCCAACTGGTAAATTCCATAACTCAGTAAATGCCACTAAGAAATTTAACAGATAAATACAGCAACAACGAAGTAAATAAAACCTCACAGCAATGCCACTTCACCACTCAACACTCGACACTTAACACACTCATCGCTCAATAGGTACCTGCGCTCACTGGGGGTGTATAGACTCCGGAGGGGCTCCCAAAGCCCAAGCACTATGCACGGACAACTCATGTGCTGCACGGACAACTCACATGCCATAATATCAAACTCTGGATCCGCACGATCAAGTCACGTGCTACGCAGACAGCTCATGCGCTATGGTATCAATACATGGATTCGCACGGACAACTCACATGCTATCATATCATATCAAATACCGCACCACAGGCCCTTCGGCCTCACTCAATCATGAACCTCTCTAGCCTCACCATCATCAATAAGGGGACACAACCCACACCAAGTATCACAGCATATCAACAAAATAATAAGGACTGAAGTAAACATGTACAATAGTTTCTATGACTGAGTGCAATCAATGTGAGCATGAATAAAGCCTAAACATGATCTCTAACATGAAGGCAAATAAGTTCTACAACAAGTAAACACATAACCACAGATAACGGCCATTAGGCCTCACAACCTCACGGGACATACCATGTCTCAATCCCTTGCGGTGCACACCCGCACGCCCGTCACCTAGCGTGGGTATCTCCACCAAACAATCACATGATATCACTTTCTCCGGGTTTATACCATCAAAGCCAGAGCTAAACTGTTACTTACCTCAATAGCGTAAAATCCTAGTCCGGGATGCCCTCGTCTCTGGACTCGGTCTCCAAAAGCTCTGAATCTGACCATAATCAGATTAATACCATCAACATATGCTAAAGAATCGAATTCCACAATAAAAACTACAAAATATACCAAGAATCCTAAATCGGCCATAAGCCGGCCCCCGGGCCCACATCATGAAATCAGTCAAAAAATGGCAGAATAATAAACCTCGTCCTCTCCTGAGTCTAACCATATAAAATTCATCAAAATCGGACTCCCTTTGGTCCCTCAAATTCTCACCACAAACTCTCCAAAACTCAAGCCCTAACTCCCTTAATTTCACCCTAAACTCCTACTAATTTCATGGCTAATCAGTGGAAAAACAATCATAAACACGCGTAATTAACCCAAGCGACTTACCACACTGATTTCTTGTGATTCTCTCTTGAAAAACACTGCCTTAAGCTTAAAGCTCGTTCAACAATGGAGGAAAAAGGGCAACAAGTCGCGAAGGGTTACTTAAATAGGGTTCTGCCAGGGATTCCGCACCTGCGACCATGCCCTTTGCACCTGCATGACCGCACTTGCGGTCCCTAGTGCGCACCTGCGAAACTCACTTAAACGCCCAACTTCGCACATGCGGCTGCTTCTTCGCACCTGCGGGCTCGTATGTGCGATCCTATCTTCCGCACCTGCGCTTAAGCGCCAGATCTCCATTTTCCGCATCTGCGACGGTCTCTCCACACCTGCGATCGTCGCACCTACTGTCACTAATCTGCAGGTGCGGAAACAGTAGAAGCAGAAAATTCTGTAGCTCAACTCAAATTCCAAATCTTCCGCCAACCATCCAAATCCATCACGAGGCCCTCGGGACCTCAACCAAACTTGCCAACTAGTCACAATATAACCATTCAAACTAATACCAACCCTCAGAACAGTTAAAACAACGCCGAAACACCAAATCACCATCGGATTCAAGTCTAAGGATTCCAAAACTTCCGAATTCCATTAACGATCAAAAAGCCTGTCAAACCTCATCCGAATGACCTGAAATCTTGCACACACGTCACAAATGACACAACGGACCTACTCAAATTTCCGGAATTCCATTCCAACCCCGATATCAAAATTTCCACTATCAACAGGAAAACGGCCAAAACTCCAATTTTGCCAATTCAAGCCTAAATCTACCACGGACCTCCAAATTACATTCCGATCACCCTCCTACGTCCCAAATCACCTAACGAAGTTGTGAACCATAAAACCAAGTTCAAAGATCATTTACTCACAAGTCAACTTCCGGTTGACTTTTCCAACTAAAGCTTCCAAATAAGAGACTAAGTGTCTCATTTCACTCTGTGACCACTCCGAACACAGAACAACCAACACGATAAGACGAAACACAGCTGAACAATACATAAAGAAGCAGAAATGGGGAAACGGAGCGGTAACTCATGAAACGACCGGCTGGGTCGTTACACCAGGTTAATTACACGGTAACGAAAAAAGAGTTGTTAGCCATAGTTTTTTACCATGGAAAAGTTTAGGCCTTATCTCATGGGTGCCAAAGTGATTATTCATACTGATCATGCGCCACTCCGTTACTTGATGACAAAGAAGGATTCTGAGGCTCGATTGATGAGATGGGTTCTATTGCTTCAAGAGTTTGACCTTGAAATTGTTGATCGAAAAGGGTGTGAAAACCAAGTGGCAGACCACTTGTATCGCTTGGAGGAGGAGGGGAAACCCCATGATGGTCTCGAAATTAATGATTCATTCCCAGATGAACAACTTCTCTCCGTATCTTTGAATAGTATGCCTTGGTTCGCCAATGTTGCTAATTTTCTTGTGACCGGCATTGTCCCGTGTGAGCTCTCTTCTAACTAAAGGAAAAAGCTTAAACGGGATTGCTTGGATTACTACTGGGACGAGCCTTATCTGTTCAAGATTTGTAATGATGGTGTGATCCTGAGATGTGTTCCGGAAGAGGAGCAAATGAGTATTCTTGATGCTTGCCATTCCTCGTCTTACGGTGGTCATCATGGTGGGGCGAGAACTGCTTCAAAGGTGCTCAGCTATGGTTTTTATTGGCCTACATTGTATAAAGATGCTGAGCTTGTGAAGAGATGTGATGAGTGTCAGAGAGTTGGTGGAATTTCCAAGAAGGATGAAATGCCTCTCACCACTATTCTTGAGGTTGACATATTTGACGTGTGCGGCATTGACTTCATGGGACCTTTTGTGAGTTCATGTGATAACACGTACATTCTGGTTGCTGTTGATTATGTTTCCAAGTGGGTTGAAGCGGTGGCTTTGCCCAACAATGAGGCACGGAGTGTAGTGGCTTTCTTATAGAAAAATATTTTTACAAGGTTTGGCATTCCTAGGGCGATCATCATTGATGTGTGCTCTCATTTCTGCAACAGGGCATTTGACACTTTGCTTGCAAAGTATGGTGTCAATCACAAGGTATCAACCCCTTATCATCCTTAGGCTAGTGGACAAATTGAGGTTTCCAATAGGGAGATAAAGAGCATATTGTCAAAAACTGTCAATGCAAATAGGACTGATTGGTCAAAGAAACTGGATGATGCTTTGTGGGCTTATAGGACTGCTTACAAGACTCCAATTGGTATGTTTCCATACTGGTTGGTATTTGGGAAAGCGTGCCAACTGCCGGTTGAGTTAGAACATAAGGCCATGTGGGCGCTGAAGAAGTTAAATCTTGAGTGAGATGTTGTAGCAAATCTCCGGGTAGAGCAACTCAAGAGTTTAGGTTTCATGCCTATTCCAGCTCGTCCTTGTATAAGGACAAGATGAAGTACTTACATGACAAATATGCCCGGAGAAAGGAATTCAAGGAGGGTGATTTGGTTCTTCTATTCAACTCTCGGTTACGACTGTTTTCGGGAAAGCTCAAGTCAAAATGGAGTGGCCCTTTTGAAGTGGTGCATGTAACTCCGTTTGGTGCTCTCGATTTGAAAAACAAAAATGGTGAAATCTTCCGAGTTAATGGGCACCGAGTGAAGTACTATCTTGGCAAGTTTGATGACAACCATGTGGTGGCAATGATCTATCTCAAGTGATTGATGGTAACTTGCGTCGTGCCGCGACGTTAAATCAGGCGCTTCTTGGGAGACAACCCATGTGTTTTTCTTTCTTTTTGATTTTCTTCTTAGTGTAGGCTTTGTTTTGGACTAACTGGTTGTGAAGTTTGTGTAGGAATTTTTGATGCAGTGCAGGACTAATACTGGAAAATTTGGCTAAGTATGTAATTGGACCGCTGACCGCGCTCAGCGGAAGCTTTTTCGCGGGGGCGTGATTCTATAGCGGATGCAGACATTGATAGTCCAAAATGTGACCTCTCTGAAGTTTCTACCGCGTCCGCAGTTGCTTTTTCGCGGTCAGCGGACCTTATTCCGCGGCCGTGCCCATTTTTCTGCTCTTAGCGGTATTCTGGAACCTGCAACTCTTCAAAATGGCCAAAAACGCGGACCGCGGTGGAATTCCGCGGCCGCGCCAGGTAGGTCGGTGGGGTCCCTCAGGTTTTTAATATAAATAGGAGGGCCCTCCTCCTTTTACCCTTTTCGCACTTTGCACTCTCAAAAGAAATATTCTACTGTTCTTCTCCTCAATCTGCTCCCAATATCATAACACTAATCTGAAGTTAGTTTCCAACACACATCGCACAACTGGTATGTTCAAATCATATCATTGCTTTTATATTTTTACTTTTCTTTTCTTTTAGTTTTAACTTCTTCTTTTTAATTAGGGTTTGATTAATCACCATAATATAGGCATTGATGTTAAAAATTCATTTGGGTATTTGTTATGTATGCCTAATAGGGGGTAGGGTTGTTCATTTTAGCACCTATTTGCCTAATTTGTATGCTAGTAAAAGAAACCCTTTAGTGCCCGTTCTTTTGAGTTCCGCAGCCGTGGCTGAAATTTCGCGGTCAGCTTTCATACGATTCTTGAATTAAAAATGGTTCATTTTCTGCGGTCAGCGGTGGAAACTCCGCGGTCGGTGACCTGTTTTACGCGGCCGCGATTCTTTTTTCCCGGACCGTGGATTTTAAGTTTAGAGTCTTGCTTAGTTAGGTCCGCGGCCGCGTTAGTTTTTATGCGGACAGCGTTACAACTTTCACGGTCGCGCCCAAAATCCTGCTCTCAGCGGTAGTCCAACTTCAGAAACTGGGTAGTCTGAATCCCAGTCTTTCGCGGTCGCGCCCAAAATTCCGCTTTCAGCGATAGCCGGTCCGCGACCATACTCCTTTTTTCGCTGTCAGCGGACCACTGCTTTTGGAACACTGTCAACTTTTCATCTACCTTCCTTTAATGATTCTTTTAACAACAATACTAATGAGCTTTCACTGATTGTGTATGCAGATAATGGTCAAATCTAGAGGCGGGAGTGATAAACAAAAAGGGAAAGCAGAGTCCTCCCGAGGAAGGGGACGAGGAAGAATCAAGTTACCCCTAGCAGTACAACAATCCATTGGGAAGATGCGAAAGGCCATCAAAGCTGTGGACAGAGCCGCATCCCATTCCGAAGGAAGTGAATATGTCCCTTCCCGGGACGTTTCGGAAGGAGACTCAGTGCCAACCCACGTTCCTACAGACTTTCCAGAGAAATTTCAGTTGCGAGACGAACCTACACCCTCTGCTTCTTCTGAGTCGTCTGATGGCTCAGAGGAGAGTAGTGAGGCTTCAGCATCAGCTTCTCCACCTGCCACACCTTTGGCCTCACTAATGAACCCTATTGATGTAGATGCTGAGATCCCTGATGACGGGAGAGGTGGTGACACCCAGGCAAGGGGGTTGGAGAGAACAAGGAACCCCGTGGTATAGCAAGAACGGTTCGTTAGTGAGAAATCCTATCACAAATTCCGGGAATGGTGGCCGCAGAGGTCTCTCACCCTCGAGAAGCAATTCATAGAAAGGGACTTTCTACCCCACAACCCCAATGTGAAGGGCAATTTGATGACAAAGGGGGGTGGAAATTCTTTACAAGCAAGCTGCTGGAGGCCAATGAATATTTAGTAGCGAAAAGTCACTCAAACTACCATGAGGTATAGAGTGAGTAATTATGTGCAAAGGTTATATCATGATCCCAAATATAACAAGTCTGTCCTAAATTCTAGACCCCATTAGATACTCGCCTGGGTGTAAGTCACTTCCCTAGTGCTTTTTATCAATTGAGAAAAACCCTACAAAAATATTGTACTTAGATTACTTTCAGCAATCAGTAGCATTAAAAGTAGAATAGAAACAAATCCAAACATGGTTAGAAGTGCAATTAAGAGCAACACGCATAGCTAGATTGGATAGAAACCCAACTCCCAACCAATATCCTTGTGGATATCGATCCCGACCTTTCCGGTAAAAGCTGCATCGACCACTCTTTGCCATTTCATAGGGGTATAGGGTTGGAGCCGATCACTACTCCAACTGGTTGGGCTGCTGGAGTCTGATACTAGGGAGCCATCTGCTCCAGAGTGTGAATAGCAGGAGTCTGTGCTCCTCCCTCAGCCTGAGAGATGACTGGTGCCATAGGGAATGTAACGGCCTGGGCCACACTCTCCATAAGGTCTACCAAATAGACCAAAGCGTCCTGAAGCACTAGGGTGGCGATGAACCTCTCCGGGACCTGAGCCGGTCCAACATGCATAGTCTGGGCTAGAACCTCCTCATCAAACTCCACCTGAGGCTTCACTGCTGGTGGTGCTGCTCAAGCTCTAGGTTGAGCTCTGCCCCTACCTCGGCCTTTGGCACAGCCTCGGCCTCGACCTCTGCCCCTTGTAGGAGTTACCACTGGGGCTCTGGCTGCTGCTCAGCTGAAGATGCAGTACGTGTTCTCGCCATCTGCGAGAGAACAAGAGTAGAAGAGTTCAATTAGCAATGAGGCGCACAATAGAGAAGAATAGAAGTAAAACTTGTTCCTAAACTTCATAGCCTTTGGGAGATAAGTACAGACGTCTCCGTACCGATCCTCCAGACTCTACTAAGCCTGCTCGTGATTTGTGAGACCTTGGCAACCTAGTGCTCAGATACCAACTTGTCACGACCCGAAATTCCCACCTTCGGGACCGTGATGGCGCCTAACATTTCACTTGCTGGGCAAGCCAACGTTAGAGAACCGTTATGTCAATTATCATTCAAATTCAATAAATAAGTCAATTAAGCCAAAATGAAATAAAATCGGTTGTGGAATAACATAAATTCCCAATAGCTATTACAATACGGATCTGGAGTCACAAGTCACGAGCTTGTAGAATTTACTACAAATAGAGTCTTGAAAGAACTACAATTGTTTGAATGAAAAGGAACAGTGAAATAAGAAAAAAATAGAAGGGGACTTCAAGGTCTCCGGAGGCAGCAGATCTACCTCGAGTCTCCAAAGCTAGTCCAAGTTGCTCCAACTCACGGACAGCTAGGGCCAGTACCAAAATTTACACAAGAAGTGCAGAGTGTAGTATGAGTACAACTGACCCCATGTACTCGTAAGTGTTGAGCCTAACCTCGACGAAGTAGTGACGAGGCTATGAAAAAGACACCTACTTAATAAACCTGTGCATATAACAGTATATGTATAAGATAACAACAAATAAAAGCTAAACAGGTAATATCGGGAGGGGGACATGCTAAAGGGAATACAAGATACGAGAGATACAACGGAATGATAACCAGAACAGTCAATCCACCTTTAACCAGTAAGAACAATTAAGCACAATGAAGAAAATTGCGTGGCATCACCCTTCTTTTACTCTCAACCTCACAATGAAACAATGATACTGCACGGCATCACCCTTCGTCCATTAACTCTCATAACATGGCACGACATCTCCCTTCGTGCATTAACACTCAGAATATGGAACGACATCACCCTTCATGCATTAGCACTCTCCATTACCACATAACAATGAACAAGTAATAACAGGGAGATAGGATCAACAAGTACAAGCCTTACTTCAACAACGGTTCTATAATACCAATCTCAACTTTGGAATCAATGCTCAATTACCACAAAAGCCCATAAACACGGTAAGAATGATCAATTTAATAAATAAATAGTCTAAGCATGGATAACGTGATAAAGAAAGCAATAATTGCAAAGAACAAGTCCCACCCACATGCTATAACCCGACAATGTTGATACCCAATTATGCCTTCATATTTTTCAAATAATTATAAATACTTTCAAACATCATTTTGCATCATTATTTAGTTTACAAATCTATACAAGCATTTTCTATAATTTACTATAATTTTTAGAGCTTCAAAATTAATTTTCTTGCATTTAAATTACACAAATATTTAGTAATTATTCCTTTAAATTATTTGTGATGACTTAATCATCCAAATTACTTCATTTCGTATAATTATGATCACATTTTAAGCTATTTATCTAATTTTGCAATAATAGCCTATATTCATATACAAATGCTCCTTATCTATACTATTTGTGTCAAAAATAACATTTTATATTTTTATAATGCTAAATCATTATTTTAAATCATTTTAGTGCATAAAAATATTTTTTATTTGTTTACTAATAATTTTTATAAATTATTTGTTGATAAATTGTGTGTATTTAAGAGCTGGCCCAACTTTAAAGCAATTTTCGGACCAAAAATGGCCCAACACCTTAGCCCAGAACCCCTATCCCAAAGCCAAACGACCCTTTTACAAAACTCGGTCGGTACCCATTTTAATTAACCCGCCCCGTTCATTTTAATCCCAGCCGTTGATCTTTCAAGATCGACGACCCTCATTTATTCCCCTCATTTTAATTAGTCACCCCAACCCTAATCCCCTCATTCTCTTTAACTCGCCACCCTAAAACTCTCTCCTCTCCTCTCCATGAAAACCCTAGCCGCCCTCTCAAATCTCTCCAAATCTGTCTCAACCATGGATTCTTTCCATGATTTCCTTACCTTTTGTGTGTTATCTCGGTATTTTCAACAAAACTATGGTATCACCTAGTACTTGCCTAAATATGGCAAGTACTATCTCTCAGAATCCGACCATCCAACTTCAATCACTTGAATCTGATAGTATTTAGTCCATACACATCGTGACCAGGCTATACATCATGAGCTCTTCTAGGGATTCTGGATTGTGCTTGATGAATAAGATTCCTTGTTTGAAATTGGGTATGCTATGAAGGAACCGTTGAAGGCTCACACAGTGTTGGGTATTTCTTTTGGGCCTGCTGTGGGCCTAGTGTCATTATTTGTATAATATTTGTAATCATATTCATTATTAGGCATGTAATAACTTTGTAATAAACAATTGGGGTATTAGTAAAAAAGGGGAGTGGGTAGATTATGATATTTGCACGAAAGGGTAGAAAACATGCCTATAGGATTCAATGATTTACTTGCTATATATGCCTTTCACTCTCTATGTGCACAGTAGAAATCATGTCATTAGGAGAAGCACACAGTCACACTACTTGTCTACTCGCAAAGCATGAGCTCAAATACTTCAATTATCCCTGTTGCTACATGTCATTAGAAAACCTTCCCTTAGGAAATAAATATCGTTGAACTTTCCTTCAATTTGCATTGCTGCAACATATCCACTAGAAATCATGCCTATAGGATTTTAATCATTTCATTTGTTACCGTATCGTACCGTTCACCTAGAAAACATGCCTATAAGGTTAAGCTATATTAATAAAATCATTTCCAAGTGCTAAACGTTAGAGGTCATGGCTATAGGATATAACTATTCGCCTTAATAATTGTTAATGTTGCACTTATCAACATTGTTTATTGCTCATTTAGGCCGTTGTCAAAAGCCTGAGTAATTCTGGGCTTTTCTCTAATAGATTTCACTATCACTTAGCGCGTAAATCACTTAGACACAGCATCTGTAGGTCAAATAACTGGAAATCTGCAATCTTAAATCATCACGTAACAATCGTGTAATTATTTGGAGATGGGCACCACCTTGCATCTGAAATTGATTGCATGTTTTTCAAAGTCACATAGAAATCATGTCTATAGGGCTTAAGGTTCTTAATTCTGAACAGCCTAACAGGAAAACCTGTTTCGCATGCAATTGTTGCTTAAGTATGGAGGTTAACTTGAGCCCTTAACTGTCCATATTTGAAGTCCAAAAAGTGTTTTGTATGTAGTCTAGTTTTGACATTTTTGAGCAGCCAAAGTAAGGTATAGAACCACCAAGTAGAGGTCTAATACCTCCTGGACCATAGGTATGGGACGGGTAGTGCAGGCATAGAGCACCACATAGAATTGGATTAGAACGCTTTTTGGTAAACAACTTTAACATAGTAATTGGGTAGCAGGAGATGATAGTCTGTGCTCGCTGAATAATATGAGTAACTCCCTACCTTAAGGGAGTTACAAAGTATTATTTATGTTGCACGTCTGATCCTTTAGGCTAAAAAACTTAGGAACCTCCCCCCCCCCCCCCATTTTATATGTTGCTATTAGATCCAAATAGTTTTATCCCTATATTCGTACTAAGATCTGTACTAATCATGTTGTAATAAAATTCTTTGACCATTTTCCCTTTGTTTATTTGATCACTTAGCTTAATTGTAATCCACATAATCTTAAGTTCGGTCGGGACCCACAGTTGTGCACCTCGAAGAGTGCCTAACACCTTCTATTTGAGGTAATTTGAGCCCTTACTCGACGTTGACTAGTCAAACAGAGTTATATGCATAATAGGTGCCCTAACTCACCTTGAAAAGCGTTAGGTGGTGACTCTTCTCCTTTTAATACTCTATCTCCCATTCTAAAAGGAGTTATCACAACGTCGAAACCCGCTTTTGCGAGAAAACGGGCGCGACAGCATGGCGACTCTGCTGGGGATATACTTAGGCTCTTACCATAATGAACTTGGCTTATATGGATTAGTTTTCTTTGTTATAAAACGCACATTCCTTTTCCATCTCTATTTGTTAAATTTCACTATTGCATGCACATCCCTTTCTCATTCACTTTTACTTATTTAAACCCGTTATAACATGCACATCCCTTCCCTTCTCCACCTTTATTTATTTAAATTTTTTATAACATGCACATCCCTTTCCCTATTCGCCCTTAATTCCTCTAACTGCTCTTCATTT